GTGATAGATATGGGTCTATTTTCATTCTTCTACATGTTAATAACCACTTATGCCAGCATCATTTGTTAAATATGCTTTCTTTTTTCCATTGTCCCTCCTGTCTGTTCTTATGCCAAAACCAGGCTGTTGTTTTTTTGTTTGGTTGTTTTTTTAGTTTGTTTTGATTGTCTTTTTGTGAGACTTGAGAAAGAAAGAGAAAAACATGAAGTTGGATGGACAGAGAGGTGTACACTTATCTGGAGGCGTTGAGGTAGGTATATGTATATATATATATATATATATATATATATATATATATATATATATATTCCAAATGTGGTGCTGCACCTTTAAATTCTAGCACTCTGAGTGTGCAATGGGCAGCAGAGACAGCAGAAGCACCTGAGAGCTCTTGGGCTAACCTGGAATACTCTGGAGAAGAAACAAAAGAGACCATACTTGAACAGGTGAAAAGACAGAATGGGCTCCTGCAGCTCACCTTCTTACCTCCTGTCTTGTGCCCCCACAATTAGTAATCATTGTTTTAACTGACACTATGACCACACAGACCAGTTCACATTTTAACAAGTTCTCTGAACTTATGCGAACTTAAGAGGATTATCAAGTATCTATATCAGAAATTCATTGTAAATAATAAATAAAGGAAACTATGTGAAAAGGTCAAGTGAATTAATGACATTGCCATGTGCTAATTTAGAATTATAAATTTTCTATTAGATTGTTGTCATGGAACTGTTAATAGATACTCTTCCAATGTGTAATGCCTTTGTGCTTTGACTTTTAAAATGGGAGTTTTAAGAGATCTTTCTATTTATTGCATTTTAATTTTGATTTTTAAATGAATTATAAATATAAAGTATGTATCATAGGATCACTCATTTTATAACTTTGTAGCAACAGGTTAGCTGAAGAAAAAAATCTGTCAAATTTGGCAGTGGTTCAGAAAACATGTGAACCTGTCACTGTAAGCAGTCTCAAAGGGCAAAATGCATTACAGGAGCTAATTAACCTTAGAAAATAATTACACAAATATGCAAATGTTGTTTAGATAATTCTGCGTGTTATCAGCTCAGGTATTCCATCACAAATACAGACCTCACAGTGCTCAGGTGGTCAGAGTCTGGCCTGGTTGATAAGGCTTTGGTTCCTGCAGCACTTCTTTTTGGCTTTAGCAATTGATGGCCAGAGTAGAGCACAGAAGCCAACCTGTATTTTTGGCACTGCACATGGTAACCCATTGTGTGTAACCATGCTTTCTGCTACCTGCAAATCCCAGCTGATGGACTTACTGCTTTTCATGCCTTTCATTCATCTACATATTCTAAAATTTCCATCCCCTGCGTACAAGTTTCTCAAAACAAAATGTAACTTCTTTCATAGGGAATCCTGTAGAATATATTATTTGTTTGTATTTCTGTATTAATGAAGTTTTGCTCATTGAAATCTGTTTCATTTTAAAATGTCCTTTCGGTAACATACTCTCTAAATTATAGTTTGTAAACATAAAATGATTATTGACACAATATGGGCTATAGGTTAGAAAAATGTTCTTTTGCCTGGGTGCAACATCGTCTTATTATAGAAGTGGGGCTTTTGTTATCATGTCAGTCGTATAGTATTTTAGAAGTAAATATTTAGAGCTATTGTCTTTATTAATTCCATACATAACAGTTATAGACGCCTACAACGATTTCACAGAATTTTGTAAATCCTCAAATAATGGAGTTGTAAATAAGTAAACAAATGCAAGCTGAGCTTCTAGAATCTTTGAGATAGTTTTATAAAGGAAAGTCAAGTCCTTTAGGGCAAAGGTTTATTTATCTCCTTTCTTTGAATATTAAATAAAACCTTGTTAATTGCTCAAGATGCTTAGAATAAATGATGGCTTAGAGTTCCCTAAGGCTCGGAGAACATTGTAGAAAGGGATTCTAAACAATATAAGAGCCAGAGGAAGGGGAGAATGGTTGCTCTCTTCAGTATGTGACATGGTCATTGAAACTGGATCTCCTACTAGCTGCAATTGAGGGCACTGCACCTACATTAACCTGGGTATGCCAACAGGCAGAAGTGCAGTAAGTCCAGGCTCATGGGCCCTATCCCTCCATGCTAAATGATTAGCTGCTGTTGGATACTGGGGGAGAGACAGTTATTGTCTTCACTTGTGGACTAAAAGTGAGCCACTTAGGTCCAGTGCATAGTTCCATTCTTGGGTACACATATAGCCCTATTTAAAACGGTAGATCACGAAAGGAAATAAAAAGGCATGAACGTACTGGCTTTGTGGGAGCCTAGGCAGTTTGGATGCTCACCTTACTAGACCTGGATGGAGGTGGGTGGTCCTTGGACTTCCCACAGGGCAGGGAACCCTGATCGCTCTTTGGGCTGACAAGGGAGGAGGAATTGATTGGGGGAGGGGGAGGAAAATGGGAAGCGGTGGTGGGGAAGAGACAGAAATCTTTAATAAATAAATAAATTTAAAAAAATATAATAAAAAAAGGCATGAATGTGGTAAAGTAGCCTGTAGAAAATGGATGATACCAGTACTGAGAGGGAAGTAAGAGGGTGAGAGTAGACAGAATGCAGTGTTTGTGTGTGTGTGTGTGTATGTGTGTGTGTGTGTGTGCACCTGTATCTGGAATGTGCATGTGTGTGTGCATGCATGTGTATTTGGGTGTGTGTTTGCTTATATGTGAAACTGTCAAAGAACAAATTGAATCAATAAAAAAGTAATACTTTATTAAAGCTATTTAATTGTATACTCTTAATTCTTCAAAAAGGAATTCATCTATCACCTTTAACATTTTTTCACTATTTGAGGTCACCTGTTTCTGTCAGTTATTTCTGTCCCGGGTGCCTCTCTAACCTTGCTCAGTGACATATGAGTAGTCGTACTGCTCCACTGTCCAGCTCTTCTATTGATCTGCTCCTGTCAGTGATCTTCCATCACTCCTTGTTCCAAAGCCACTTTGAAGCAGTCCTTTTCATTGCTGCTCATAAACATCTAGTGAGCTCAGACACACTGCTAGGAAGGTAAAATGCCTCAGGTAGATGGTTGCCCTCCTAAGGACCAATAACTAGCGTGGTATTGCTGACTCTGTTGCTTTGATATCAGCCACTTGATGATATAGTTAGAAGAAATGAAACTAAGGAGGAGATGAATTCTGACCCAGTTAGAAGCAGGGTCAGCAGAGTTAAGTGACTAGTTCCATGAGGGACTTAAGGAAAGGAGATGTTCAGGTTTCAGGTGGATGTGGGGAACACAAACAGGATTAGGCAGGAAGTTTCCAGAAGGTTTGGGTTAGTTGAAGTGTCTGTGGGATATGCAGAAGGAAATGACCAGTGGCTGTGGAAGAAATTTGGAATGGTGACAGACATTAGGGAACAACAGCTTAATTATACAATTGCTAAGTCGGAGCTGTGCCTGCTAACCGATGCCCTTATCCTAGCACTGAGAGATGGAGGCAAGCAGACCCCTGTAAGTTTGAGAGCAGTGCAGAGTAGGTGAGTTCTGTGCCATCCTGAGCAGCAGTGTAGACCCTGTTTGATAAAACCAAACACATAATGTTTTTAAATTTTATTTCTTTTAATTTTTTTGAGATATAATATAATTAAGTCATAACCTTCTTTCTGTTTCCTCCATCTAAACCCTCCCATCTACCCCTTTGCTCTCTTTCATATTCATGGCATCCTCTTTCACTATTGTTGTTATGTGCATATATACACACATATATTTATACATGTACATAGTATTTCTAAATACAGCCTGCTCAGTCTCTATGATATTACCTGTATGCATGTTTTCACAGCTGACGTTGCTACTGTAACCAACTGGTGAGCTCTTCCCAGGGAAGATTATTTCTTCTGTTTTCAGCATTCCCTCCATTGCCTATAGTTCTTTGTGTAGGGTTGAGGCCTCCTAGGTTTTCCCCATCTTCAGCATATTCATTGCTGTTGTCCTTGGGCAGGTCTTGTGTAGGCTGTCACAATGGTGTGTTGGCAGGAAACCTCAGCCAATCAAAATTCATAGTTATGGAGCCCAGCCCTAGTACAATTCAGACACCTACTACTTAGAGGATGCTGTGGGAGATATAGCTGAAAGGATGTAAGAACCAGAGAGTTAGCTGAGAGATTGCATCTCTAAATACCCTTTTAAAGATAAAATTTGTGAATAAATCCCCTTCATGTGCAATATCCGTGATGTTGTTAGGAAATTCACTTCTAAGAAACAAATACATAAACACATTTTTATGCTCTGATTGGTTCTCAGCAATTTATTCTTTCATCAGTGTTTTCATATAATCTAGATTTTTTTCTATGACCATTTGATGTATCACCTAATGCAATAAATATAGTAAAATAAAGTTATTCTAGAATTTTTTAGAATATGCTCAATAGGGTTTAAAACCCTAGGTTAAAAGCTCCTCTATTCATGTGTTTGATTTCTCTCAGTTCTAGAAATAAAATATGTCTAGAAATGTTGTTAGAAAACATGCATTCCTTTAAATGCCCTGAACAGAAAATACCCATTATTAATTTTCTCTGTTTTCAGTTTACTACTTAACAGTCTCATAAGCCAAGTAAATAATATATAGATAATAAAATAAATAGATAATATAAATACTTTAAGATATATAGAAGAATGTAGCCTAATATTTTAGTGTTTTATCAAAAATTTACATAATGTTCTATTATGTAATTCTAATAATCCGTAAGTAGATCTTAATATCACATATATACACCGATTATTTTTTCTTAAAATACACTTATTTAAATAATTTGTTTCTAAAGATTACATTTTCATTTAAGCTTAACAGTAATTTACCAATAGTTGTAATACTAATTTATTCTATAATTTAAATATTCAATGGAGTTCTTTTGTTTCTATGAATGTTCTCTAACCATCTTATTCTTATGCTGTGTATACGGGTGTATAATTTAATTTAACTAAATACTGTGATAATGCAAATACAATACACAATTTTTATGTGTTTTGTTTGTAGGAAAATGGCTCTCCTGAAGAGCATGCAGTCTACGTCTGGGACCATTTCATAGCCCAGTCTGCTGCTGAGAGTGTGTTTTTTGTTGCTCACAGCTATGGGGGACTTGCTTTTGTTGAACTGGTAAGTGAGCATTTAATTTTTTCTAATGATTTATTTTTAATATATGTGTGTGTGTAAGTTTCTGAATGGATGTATGACATGTACATGCCAGTGTCAACATGTCCAGAACAGGGCAAAGAATTCCCCTGGAACCGGAGTTACTGGCAGTTGTGAGCCACCTGATTGGTGCTGGGAACTCGGAACTGACCAGTGTCCTCTGTATGAGCAGGAAATGCTTGTTAACATCTGAATCATACCTAGTTCTTAACTCTAACTCTTAACCTCTGTAAAGGTTTGCTTTGGTTTTGGTTATGGTTTTGGTTTGCAACCCTGGATGACCTGAAACTTGCTTTCTAGACCAAGCTGGCCTTGAACTCACATAGATGCCTGGGATTAAAGATATGTACCACTGCACCCAGCATGCCTTCTATACATTTTTTTCTTGGTATTATTACTTCAAGTTATTTAAAAAATTATAAAAGGCAGAGGTGGTAGGTGGGTGGATGACTCCAAGGAAACAACTTTCTCCAAACACAGCAGGACAGATGAGCATGTGAATACAAGAGATACTGTGGCAGCCTGCACACACAGACACTGTAGCATCATTTCACAGGATCTGCACAGGTTCAAACCAGACAAAAGGAGGTTGACACGATATCCCACCCTTAACCAAGAAACTATTTGCAACTGATGCCTGCAGGAAAGGAAAAGTTAGTTCTTTCTAATAGAGTGACATTGGGTTTATAAGCCACACTGCAGAGCAGGCCCTGTGACCAGTCATAGTTAGACAACACAAAACAGACTCCTTTTATGTGTGTGTGTGTGTGTGTGTGTGTGTGTGTGTGTGTGTGTGTGTGTTTTGAAGGGTGTCTTGTCTCATTTTGTTTTGGTATTTTGCATCTTGACTATTTTTGTTGTTTATTCATTTTGATTTTGGTTTTGGTTTTGGTTTTATTTCTGAGAGAAAAAAGAACATGAAGGTGAATGTGTAGGAAGGAGGACAGAATCTGAGAAGAGTTAGAGTGGTTGGAAAACTATGACTAAAATATATTGTATGAAAAAATTAAATTTAAGGATCAAAATGCAATTTAAATACATCTAGATTACACTTATGATTTTTGAAAAGAATGTACTAATTTCTTAGAGTGTAACAAAGCTTTATATTGCTAACCAGAAGTGATTTTTGTTTGTTCCTTCTTTATATATTATTTTTAAATTTCAATATTATCATGTACACTTCTATACATTTGGATGTACATTTGGTTTTATTTGAATACCATTAATATGTATGTTATCCATATAGAATCCAAAACTGCAAACCCTTTTATTATTTGGTATTATTTTAGTAATTCTTAAAAATTTTATTTATTTATTTTATCAGTGGTTTGCTTGTATGTATGTCTGTGTGAGAGTGTCAGATCCCCTGGGACTGGAGTTCCAGTTGTGAGCTGCCATATGGGTGCTGGGACTTGAACCTGGTCCTCTGGAAGGGCAGCCAGTGCTCTTAACCACTGAGCCATCTCTTCAAGCTCCTATTTTAATCATTTTAAGTGATTTTTCTGTGTACTGTTAAGTGTTTAATACTTACCTCGTCATAGTTTATGCGATTAACATCACAACTATTAGAAAGGTTACATTAATTTACTTGGAAATAGCATTCTTTGCTTGGTAACAAAAAGTTTTGCTTAGTCCTTTGTAAGTATTCTGTTTTTTAAGAGTTGAAATTAGGTACACATGACAGGAACAGTTTCATGTATCTTGGATTCAGTGTGATTGGGTGTGGTGTTCTAGATAGTAGTTATGATAGCATTGTGACTGGCTGATGCTAGAGATTCACTAATGAAGAGCTGTATCCATTGCCCACTTTCAATTTTTAGACTCAGTGTGTAGATCAGAAAATATATTTCTGTAACCCTTTGCCCCCATGCCTCAGTCTCATGTGATTTAGATATAGGAGCGGTGCTGGCTCTGACACCTGAGGATATCACAGTGACCCTCCTGTGCCTAACATCTTTATACTATTCTAAAATCAAGAAATATGTTATCATTTCTCTCTTAGTTTGGCTTCAGTATTTAGAGATTGTTTACAAATTAAATAGCTTCGCAGATTTTGTTTATTTTGATATATATGTTATATATACATAACAGACACCTTAAGGTAGCTTCTTAACACATTAGTGTGAGTTTTTCTTAAATATGGATGTTGAGAGAAAATGCAGTATTTTAAAACAATGTTTTAGTATCTACAGATAATTATACATTTGTAGCTATAGATAGCTTTTATATTTAAATCATTAAATTACTTTAAAATTACCTTTTTTAACTTATGGACTACCTTTAAATGTATAAAGTCCTGAAACACTAATTTCTAATTTCAATAAAGCTTAACTGATCTTTTTTTTAACCTTACAATCATTTATTAAAAAGAAATTGTATAAAAAAATCAAAATTGGAATTAGGGCAAATTCAAGTCTATTTTTTGAAATGAATTGACAGATGAGCAGTGTGTCAGTCTTGGTTGCTGTCCTTCTTGTCACACACTGGTGGATATTTCTCCACCTTTGTTCCACTTTATATAAAGCACACAGATGTTTCAGAACAAGACTTGACTTCTGACCTTGAGGCTATTGGGGTCAGGGTCCTCAGGGCCTGTGAAATTATCACAAGCTGAGCTAAAGTTTTTCTCCAGCACAGGAAGTAACTAGTAAGTAAGAACTTAAAAAGGAGCTTTGTTTGAGAGACAAGATGGTCCCAGTAAGGGTCAGCTTCTGTAGTCTGCTGTCCCTGCAGGAGGCCATGCATGGGAGGAGGAGATAATAGAACCACTGGTGGATCTGTCAGGCAGGAGCAGACTGAGAAGTCTATTTAATGTAATATACCTTGTTTAGGTCTTAAAATAATAATGGTTATCATTTCAACTTCATGCACTTACTACTTGTTGTGCAATACAGTGCCAACTGAAGAAAAAGTGATTTTAGCCTAAAAAGTAATTTACAACCAAATAAAAGTGCATATGATGAGGTTTGCATTTTGCTAAATTTAGTAAACATGTGTAAGTTCATTGTGTTTCTGTTTCAAAATATGGAAGTATTGTAACAGAAAAACTCTACAGTGTTTGTAAGCCTGCTTTTGTGTAAAGAAAGCATTCTTTCCAGTTATTGCTAATATCCTTAAGAGAAATGTCTTCATGTTTAAAATTTTGACAAACGTTGTCTCAGGGATTTTCAGCATAAGTATAACATGTGAAATTGTCACACGTGGTTTCAAAATGTTAATATTAGCAATATAAGAAAAATGTGAAGATTAGAAATCTTAAATTGTAGTATCTTTGTTTCCTTGGTGGTGCATTATACACGTCATTCACAAAATCTTTAGCTTTCTGTGGTTTAAATGTTTTAAATTGTTCAAAATTTACACTCTTAAAAGCTGGCAAGGCTCCCCTTCTCTGTGTCCCTGCGTTAGTGTGTCCCATTATATTTGAGTTTGTACAGATCATCCTCTGCCATTGTCATGTAAGTCACCCTTCTTCTTTGAGTAATGAATGTTAAGAACATTTGTTTTAAATGCCTACTGTGTGGCACATACAGGTTTTAAAAAATGTAATTAATAAAATTTTGTTTAATGATTACTGTTTGAATACCAGGCTAGAGGATCTTATGTAATGTGGCTTGCCATATACTGTGTTAAAATTTAGGTAAAATCTAGCTTAAAATTGAAAATGATTATTTTGAAGTTTGGAGAACAAAATTGTTAGAAGTCCATGTTTTCCTAATTATTTTTGGAAACTGAGAACATACTTTATTATTATACCTTATCTTAAAATGTGCATTGCTCCTGGAGAAGATACAATATTGAAAGACTCATTTTATGGTAGTGTTTCTTGTAAAGCAGCTGTCCTGGGTCTAGCCTCCTAAGAACAGTATACAGTTTTCTGTGAGCACAGAAACATAGCACCAAAAGTATACCTCTCACTGCCCTTGCTTGCACCATAAACCAAACAATATCCAGTTCTCCAGACTTTCTGTGATCCTAGGAAAAATGAGTATTGATAAGACATCCTGATTAAATACAACACGTATCTATCAAAGACAAGAGAATGAACAGTCTTATCAATTGATAATGAATTTCTGAAAATCGTGTATCTGCCTGTATTATCTTGTCTAAGTCATCATACTTAGCCATAAATTTGTCTTACAAATTTAATTTTATAAATAATCTTAGCTACAATTTGTTTACAAAATTATTTAGAAAGAATATATGGATAGTTTGGCCTAGTTATTAAAATGTAAGCCTTAAGTCCATTTTTTATATTAAGTTAATTTTTATAGTATAATTCATGTTTTGACATTTCCATTTCCCTCCCAGCCACTTGGTTTGAATGATTCCATTCCTTCAATTGGCCATTTAACTGGGTTTTGTTCTTGTGTTTCCAGGTGCTAATCGGTTTACAAAATCAAGTAACATCGCCATCATTGTTAAAATGAGCTGGCTTTCCTTGGCAGTGTCCTTAACCCACCTCAGCTCACTTTACTGCTGCACTTACAGGTCTCAGCACACCACACTTGGATTGTTTCCTTTAACCAAAACAAGAGTGCTCATATTTTTTGTGAAGTATATCAAGTATTTGAATCAATACATTTTATTGGCTTCACTGAATTGCTGCAACTGATAGATTATTAGGATCTGCTCATTTTTATTTCTTTTTCTACGTTGTCAGTGGTTTGTTCAGTCACCATTAAAAAACATCACTTAGAAATGTGTGAAAACCGCTCCTTTTGAAAGCATGTCTCTACCCACTTTTGATTTTGTTTTTTCCATGCTTGTCAGCACTTGATTGGCACCTCACTTGCATGTGAATTAAGGAATGAAGGGAACTCTATTTTGTTGCCATTGTTTTGTGCTGGGTTCCCTGGCCTCCAGGCAGCCTAAGCTGCCTTGAGCAGCTGGTAGAAGGCTACTTTTGGACATGGCTGTATGAGGACACTCAACCTCTGTCTACTCTTAGATCTTTTTAAGCTACT